ATTACCTTGGCCAGGGCAGTCCCTGTGGAATTGTGAAGCAGCACCAGATGCAGCAATCCGAGCATGCACTGGGCATGAGCAAAGCCTTGTTTGGTGCAATCTGATAAGAGAGACAGAGATAGGCCTCAGACAACCCACGGGATTATTCTCACTTCTTGGAATTTAAAGAAAATCCAAGATCAAATCAATTGCTCAGGTGACGGTGAGAAAAGAAATATCTGAGGAAAGATAAGAACGCAGACCTGGCTGCATGTTCACCTTCAGACCAGGTCTGAGACACACCTGCAGAAATGGACCCTTCATGGTGGGGAAATTGATCTCAATTAAGGACAGGCCTTGGTAAAAAGACTATTAACCGGCAGATAAAATACGGAATCACTAAGCTAGTGTTTCTTACAGAAGGATCTCTGCGATCACCTGTGTCAGGAATCTTGCTTTAATAATGTCAATGCTGGGGCTGTACCCTGGACCAAATGGACCAGGATTTCAAGGTATAAGACCCAGTTTAAATCAATTCTCTTATTTACAAAGAACTAGAAGGCAAATGTCCAATGTACAGCTGACGATACGTACATTCCCTAGTCATTCTGTTTGTGAGATTCTCTAGCAGTTTCGTGGCAAGGACAACTACAGCCGGATTAAGAGCCTTGTCTACTGGGCAGATGCTCGGAGCAACTATCTGTGGATGAAGTGAAATGTCCCCAGAATAAACACCTGGGAATTGGGTCCGTTTCTACACAGTATATAGTGGGGGATGGTGTCTTTACTGGCTCTGTCTTCATTATTTTTTGGAAGAACACACGGTGGCTGCTAGCTAAGATTTTAAAACAGCACCCTGTATAATTTAATGTTTCTTACTTGGAACTGGTGATTTATTTTGTTACCTAAATTTTTAATCCAATAAGACTTATCTAAAAAGTTGAGGTTTGGAAACTTGCCTAACACCAAATAAAACCCAACAAAAGAAAAGCCACAAAACCAACAAAAAATCCCAAACCCCAACAAACCCAGAAACAAGTATAAGGGCTCCATGGAAGTGAGGGTTGTTTGGCTTACGCTTATCAGAAAATGGATTCTGGTGCCCATGTCTCAGTGGTTAGGGGCTCCCCAGCCATATGCTCCAGGGCTGGTAGGTTTGAACTCAGCCCAGGCCTGCTAAACAAAACAAAAACAAACAAAAAATAGCTGGGCGTTGTGGCGGGCGCCTGTAGTCCCAGCTACTCAGGACGCTGAGGCAAGAGAATCGCTTGAGCCCAAGAGTTTGAAGTTACTGTAGCTATGATGCCACAGCACTCTAGCGAGAGTGACAAGGTGAGAGACTCTGTCTCAATTAAAAAAAGAAAATGGATTCTGTCCTGGCCTGTGAAAATAATTGGGGAAGATTCTGTTTCAAAATCTGAAACTAGCAGAAAATTAGTTTCACCTCATTCCACTAAATAAATATGGAACAAAAATTGCAAAGTATTGGTTTGAGGAACTGTAAAATCATTTACTTACCTGGGTTTTCATCAACCCTGGTTGAGCCTGCAGGTAATCCTGACTATTTGGAATTATTAATTTAAATAACTGAAAGGAGTTCAGTTCTAAGAAGTTATTTATTGAGTGCCAATGGAAGACTAGGTTTCTGCCATCATTAATGAGAGCAAGACAGGTATTAAATAATTAAAAATTACACTCTGCTAGGTGAAGCTTGTGTGTTGATAGACTCATGATAAAATATTCTTAAAATATGGGATATGTAGCACAAAGGAGAAACATGTTAAAGTGCATGGAAAAATTTAGCACTCAGATTCCATTTTCTTTGAGTTTTAAAGAATAAAAATATTAGAAATGTAACATGCTTTGAATTTAAAGAACAATTCTAGATTCTCGAAGTTTTTATCTGGGAAGCTATCCAGACTTTATTCTTTACTACTTAGTATTGCCTGTAATTTAATTACTTATATGTTTTCTAGGGCTACTATTGGAGAGATGGTTAAAACATTATTATAGACAAAAGTACTGAAATATTCTCATCATTATAAAGCTGTTAGTTCAAAGCATCTGCCCAGGTCCTTTTAGTTGTTCACTTGTTTTCACTACATATATTGTTGTGCCCAGAATTTCCCCGAGTCCCTGAGCCCATGAAGGGATGAACCGAGACACACTCTGATGTAAAAGCAAGAGGCGAGCTTTATTTAGCAAGCTCGAGCCCGGACCCTCTCTTGGCAAACATACCAAGGAAGGCCTGGAGCCTAGGGGGTTGGAAAGTTTTATAGGGTACAGAAAGCAAGAAGGGTGAAGAAGGGTGGGGTACATTTTTGTTTGGTGGTCAGAGTATGGGAAGTATGGGTGATTGGTGGTCAGGGTTTGGGGAAGTACGGGGAGGCTCTGGATTGGTACAGGTATGAGGGGTGGGGGATTTCCTAACTGGGGTCTTAGGGTGGTATGAAGCAAGAAGGGTGGGGAGCACTTCTGCTTGGCTGACTGGGATGCTTGATTTCGGGGAAAGGCCAGGGTTTTGGGATCTAAGATGGCGGTGGGGGCTCAAAATGAGGAACAGAACTTAGGCAGTAAACAACAAAATGGCGCTGGTCTGGCCCTCTCAATATCATATTTCCTTTGTTTTGAAAAGTGGAATCAGTAATCTTTATCAATTACATTTTTCTTCTATTGTTCTTATTACTAAGTCAATATTAAACTATTGAGCTAGCAGTGTTTCACTTTTGCATGAAAATGAGTTCCTACAATTCAGGGGTATTCACCCAGAAACTTGCATGCTCTTAATCTTTGGATTTAATCCAAAAGGATGTATAAACAATGTAACAAATGTATACACAGACTCAGCTCCATGCTAACTTGTTACCCTAGAGAGTACAGAAACGGCCTCTATAATTCAGAGATGCAATCCCCTGTTCATTTCTTTGATGGATGATTTTGCCCTTTTCAGGTTTAATAAACCCCAATCTCTGAGTTGGAAACTAGAAACTAGAGGTAGCATAAAATGTATAGGGAAGCCCAATGCATGAGCGTGGCCATTTCTCAACAGGAAGAGATTCACGTAGATTTCTTCTTAGGGATTTTTGGTTCCTTACATGGAGCTGGAAGGAAAATAATCTGAGTCTGTAGTTGTAGTGAAGAAGTTGAGCTTTGAATCAAACAGACCAGAGCTGGAGTCCTGATTCTTTTTTTTTTTTTTTTTTGAGACAGAGCCTCAAGCTGTCCCCCTGGGTAGAGTGCTATGGCTTCACTGCTCACAGCAACCTCCAACTCCTGGGCTCAAGCGAGTCTCCTGCCTGCGCCTCCCAAGTAGCTGGGACCACAGGCACCCGCCACAATGCCCGGCTATTTTTTAGTTGCAGCCATTATTGTTTTTTGGCGGGTCCAGGCTGGATTCGAACCTGCCACCTTAGGTGTATGTGGCTGGTGCCTTAGCCGCTTGAGCCACAGGCGCCGAGCCTGGAGTCCTGATTCTGTAGTCACAGGCTGTGTGACTTGGGCAGAGGGTAAAATCTCTCTGTGCCTCCATTTTCTACTATAAACTGTCATCTACTTCATAGACAAGACGTCAAGATTAAATGAGAGAACATTTTAACTGACATACCAATATGCCATGAATATAGTATGGTGTTGCTGAAAATAATACATATATACACTTTCTAAGAAAATTTATAAAAGACGTGTGTGAGCACACACGCTTAAAATTTTTGTTTCCAAAGAAGCAGCAGCAGCTTTCAGAGCAATGCCCTGTGAAGAAATGCTTGTCATTGATTCCAGGAAGTGAAACATGGGGGAAGTGGAAGCTATTTCATTTTATTTAGCAGGGCAGAGGTGCTAACGTGGGAAGGGCTTAGCCTCACTAACCTCATTTTTCTAAACACAGTGATGTTGGCTGTGAGACAGAGGAAGAAAGGCCCTTGCTAAATCCCCTGGTCCACCAAGGGCACTGAGCACTGACATGCAACCAGGTGGCTGGTCTCTCTCCTGGGAGAGATCTCCCAAGACAAGGAGATCTCTTCTGGGCAGTGGCTAGAGGGCTCCCCAGGGCAGCTTCTCGTGGGCTCTGGGAAGGAGAGTGTCCTTCCAGTGGGCTGGCCTCTTGTCCTTTCCTTGTGCCAAATACACACCTGGAGACAGTGGGAAACACGACCCCAGCTCAGGAGAAGCCCAGAAATGAACATCAGAATGTCCCCAGAAATGAAGCAAAACGGGACACATTAGACACCAAGATGCCATGGAGTATCACCTCAGAGAGGCCTCCATCCCAGAGTGACTGAAGTGTGAGACTCAGGCATCAGTCTAAAAGAGGCCCCGGCTTGAGAAATCTGGCTTTTATTTGTTCATTGGAAACCTCATTTCAAATGGAAAAAAATAACTTACTCTTAGATAAATCCATTCCCTGAATTATGGAAAGGAAAAAGAAGACTGGATTTGTGTTTGGGGGAAAGTTTACTGTTGGCTGTTTTGGGCAGACTTTGAAAGGGATCCTTGAATTTAGAAGGCACAGCCAAGATCATGTTTCCTCTCACCTTACCTGAGTCACGTGGGACATCTTTGGGGGCTGGTTATCAAGGAACTGTGGCATTGCTGAGACTTGGTGCCCTGTGCTCTGTCTTTTGTGTTTGAGATGAAATCTGCCCAAATATTTGCTAATTGAGTCTCCTGCGCAGACGCTATACTGTTGAGGATGCAAAATCTAAACAGAGCTCTCTTTGAGAACACGGCGCTCATACTCTAGAGATAATTGAAGCCACCCCCTTTTCCTCTCTAACTTCTAATTTACTCGTCTACATTCGAAAATTTAGCACCCCGTTTTGAGATGTATCAGACGTAAATTGAACTTCTTTGAGTACAATTCATTTCTTTCCTGGAGTGAGTGTAATGATGCCTTTTATGATAGCTGGAGTTGCTGAAGGTCAATAAAAAATGTTAATGTTTGACTAAGGGAAGGGAGAGGCTGGGGGCAGAGCGGTGAAGGAGTGTTCCGGGGAGACACTCAAGTCGCAGCAGACGTCCAACCTGGAGGTACTGAAGTCGCAGCAGGAGTCCAACTGAATGGAAGGAAATAGCTTTTAACCACCCTTTTGTTACTTACAGAAAGGTAAGGGCTGACACATCTTAATTGTGTCAGGAACAATTCCTTCTAGAACAACAAAATAGATTGGGGGGGGGAGACTTAATAAGGTGTTGGACAAATTTATTCCTTGGGGTGAGCCGTGTAGCTTTGTAGAAAAGGAGCATTTGTTCCCGACGTGACAAGTTTTGCTTGTGGAGTACAATTTCTTTCTTTTGTGGTTTCTTTCCATTAGTCTATATTTTCTAAATTCATTTGATGAAATGGCTTTGGTTGAATCAAGCTTGGCAGGAGAGTTAAAAGAAGGATCAAATTCTTTGATGTTTAAAGAAGTATTACGCTCATTCTTTGTGATTAAGCATAAAAGTAAACATTGAGTAAGAAAGATGCTATGGGGCTCCTGTATTCTAGAAACTGGGGATGGAATCATATCCTTACAAAGCATGTCATCCCTCAGATATGGTCTTCAAAAACTGAGCATTCTGACTCCTTCTCAGAGAATGAGATTCGATTTGGGATTCTTAGGACTGTCTGGAACCCAGCTGGGTAGGGGAAGGGCAGAGGAGAAAAGAACCTTTTATTTGTTTGTTCTTGTTAAAGTTTGGAGTAAGAATTGAAGAGAGAGAGACTGACCTGGCTTCACAATTGGAAAAAGAAGGCGGGTGTCCGTGTTGGGAGCTTCTGGGTTGCTTTTGTCCTTAGTGATGCATGTGTCCCCTGCTCATGAATGAATCTCTTGAGAGTTCAGTGCTGTGCAGCTGCTTGGATTTCTCAGAGGTCCAGTCCTTGTCTGTCTCCCTTTCTTTTATGAGTGACTTTATGGGGACAGATGCCCTCTGTGGTAGGGGATGCCAAGCAGGAGATTGGAATAGCAGGGCAGTCTCTGATATTTTCTTGTTTGTTTTTCTTCAAAAACTTAAATAGCAAGCGAGAAATTATTTGAAAGAAGGAGAAAACCCGTGTTTAGATGACAGGAAAATAGATGATATTTAGTTCTTACCAGGAAATGAGTCCTTTACGGTGTGAGGATTTACAGCAGATCATAGGGTATACAGTTTATGAGTGTTGAGGGTTGGCCAGATGGGTTAGGCCCATTTCATCATTTCCTGGCTGGCAGGCACTGAGCAGAGTACTTAACTTCCTGAGTCTCAATTTTCCCATCCATAGGCCAGTCACGGTGGCTCACGCCTGCAATCTCAGCGCTCTGGGAGGCTGAGGTGGGTGGATTGTTTGAGCTCAGGCATCCGAGTTCAGATTAAGTAAGAGCGAGACCCCATCTCTATTGAAAATATAAATATTAGACAAGTGTGGTGTTGGGCACCTATAGTCCAAGATACTCAGGAGGCTGAGGCAGGAGGATTGCAGAGCCCAAGAGTTTAAGTTTGCTGTGAACTAGGCTGAGGCTATGGCACTTTAGCTAGGGCAACACAGTGAGACGGGTGAGATGCTATATAAAAAAATTCCCATCTGTACAATGAAGGTACTTACCCAACCCGGACATTGTGAGACGTAATTAGGTAAGTAAAGAGCTTAGTAGATTGCTTGACACATCATAGACGTTCAGTGAGTGTTAGTTCTCTTTTTTTTCATCAGAAAGTTCAAGTAGGGGACTTAGATCAAATTAAGAAGTTGCTCTTTTGGCTCGGCGCCTGTGGCTCAACTGGCTAAGGCGCCAGCCACATACACCTAAGGTGGTGGGTTCGAATCCCCAGCCCGGGCCCGCCAAACAACAATGATGGCTGCAACCAAAAAATGGCCGGGCGTTGTAGTCCCAGCTACTTGGGAGGCTGAGGCAGGAGACTCGCTTGAGCCCAGGAGTTGGAGGTTGTTGTGAGCTGTGATGCCATGGCACTCTACCCAGGGGGATAGCTTGAGGCTCTGTCTCAAAAAAAAAAAAAAAAGAAGTTGCTCTTTCATTCTGTAGAAGAAAAAGAAACAATCAGTAATACCTCAAAAACATCTGCCATGACACAAGTGAACAATCAATTCTATGCTAAGGAAATGGGATCCAAAAATACAATGATAAAATTATTGTAAGAAGGATTTAGAATCCCTTCTAATTGTTCCCATGGACGTTTTCAGGTGGGGTGTAGGTGTGGCATCCTTTGAAACTCTGTGAGATGACCCCTGAAAAAGTCATCACCTCCCTTCTCTTAGGAAAGGCAAAATATATCCTGGTAGCAACTCAACTTCTTATTCCATTGTCAAAGGACGTTGCTTGAAAGGAGAATATGCCTCTATTTTCATGTTAAAAGATGTGACTCTGGGAATTGTCTTGCTGTTTTTTCCAAAGGCCCACGAATAGTGCTTGTACAGGTGCTGCTTTACATGAGTAGAGATATTTATTCATAAAATTGAAATTAGCCAGAAATCCCTGGTGTCACATTTAGAACAAAGCTAGTTCTGTAGCTTACTTAATAAATATCTAGATAAGGAGAGACATGTTGAATTTTGTTGGGGGACTATCTGTCTATGGATTTGTTACTTGTGAGAACAAGCAGGAATGTTTGCTTAGATGCAAGAAATATTCCATAGACGCCACCATTTATCTGGTGGTTGAGGTATTACCTTGCATATGAAAGGTAATTGTTTTGCTTAGGCAACACGTAATAGACTAAGCTATACTTGGTTGTTGTATAGCTTAGTCTTAGTTTTAAGAAAAATAATTTCTCTTAAAATTCTCTATAAAATTGACATGAAATTCACCCATGATATTCTGAATTAATCATCTTTTACTGTATTTTTATTATTTTACAATATTAGGACTTGTGGTTCTTCAGTAAGGGACAAAGAGAATCAAAATGGTCGATCTGTGCTTTTAATATTCATACTGAAGATGAACACACCTTCCTCACCTACAGATTGTCTAGCCGAGGGTTTCCGTGCTGGGTCTCTATGTTCAGATCAACTCTCCTTCCTCCGCCTCTCTAAGCTTAGGTTCCTGCTCTGTAGGATAACAACAGGACCTATGTTACAGAATTGCTTGCTATTTTAAGTGAAATAAACGGCTAAACTTAGCTTGCATTTATTGAACATTTGCAATTAAAACAATTCATGAGTGAGATTTTGTAGAGGTGCGACACCTTTTAAGTAGAATTAAATTCATTTTCTCTCCCCTACCCATCCCGGTTGTCAGTTATGATTTAATTACAGAAATCAAAAAGGTAACCTAAAAAAAAAAAAAAAAAAAGGTAACCTGTCATACTAAAGCATGACGGCACATTTTTGTTGTTAAAATTCTTGCCTGAGGTTGCCTTGTAAATGAACTCATACTATAGCAGGTTTTTTTAAAAACAAAATTCTTGGGGTCTAAATCCTATGGGATGAAATCCAATTTAGATTTACTTCCTATTGAATTTTGAAGGCCTCGATGTGCTGTTTTATTACCTTGACAAAATGCGCATCTGTACACTTTATATAATACGTAAAGATATGGTATAAGATGTGAAGAAACACTTTGTCAAAAATGGTTAAGCCACCTTGAATGAGTAATAGTGATTCCCATCCTCTTCTTTAGTCCAGGGAAGACATGTGATGTTGTTCTGCTGGAAATGGAGGGAAGTCCTTCCCCTGCCTCCCTCCCACACTTTCTGAGTGTGGACCTGCACACCTCACAGGACTCAATGCTGAAGTTCTTACTGGCATGACAGCCAGGCTGCTGGCTCCCTTCCCTGTGGGCCACCTCCTGTCAGCGCTGGGGTGGCCTCTGAGAGTGAGGAGAGGCTCCTTCTCCCCAGCTGCACATCCCTCACTCAGCCTGAGTGAGAGCTTCGTGGAACACAAGCCAACCAGGAATTAGCAGGACCAAGTGTCTCAAAATATTCCTTAGAATTCATTCTTATTTCCTTTAATAAGAATTCTGCTAGTAATTATGTTATACTCAATCATATGCATTTAAGCCATCTAAAATTCTCCAGGGGTGCCATCTGTCCTTCCATGAGCCCCAGAATCCTATTGTGAACCTATTGATAAAACAAATACCCCTGATTTTGTACATATGTAAATCTAGATTGTTGTATACTGAAAGATTGGCATATCTATATTGCAAAGTTTAGTGAGAGATGAAGGTACTTACTTTTATATGAGGTAAGCTTCTCTCCCTCCCTCCTCTCTCCCAGCTCTAAAACAAAACACCCAGTGGCCCAGTCTCTCGGGTGGAGGAACCGTCTGAAGTGAGAGGCAGCAGCCCAGATTTTATGTCTGCCTGTTTGTTTCTAGCTTATTCCCGACCACTTTAATTGGGTCCTTAATTTGTCAAAAGGGCAAATTGGCCAGATCTTCCTGTGGTTCTCCAAACCTTAAGTGATGCAATTGGTGCCAGAGATTTGTGAGCCAGACCAAAAAAGATGGGGAGGACAGAGCTGAACATTACCTGATGAATAATGGCATGAGCGAGCTTTATTCCTGTCTGGCCTAGCCTTATAATTTATGCTGTTCTTAGCGATGTACAGTGCAAAGGAAAAATAAATGGCACTCAGGATATTTGGCGCTATTTGGTCCTGGTGGTGTTATGAATTCCAGTCGCAGCCTTTCCTGCTCACACCACCTCATGATATTTGAAAACAAATTTCACAGTCCTTTCCTTCTGGACCTTCTTTGTTCTTGGAAGCTGCATGGCTCAACCTTAGTGCTAGGTGAATTATTTTAATTCATAACACTTCATGCTTTTTTTTTTTAAACAAAAAAAATAAGAAATGACTGACTCTATTTAAGATTCTCTTAGTCAGATTTTTTGTAGAGGGGGAAAATCAATGCTTGTGTATTATTTGCAGGTTTGAAGATCTGGGACCTAGAAATTCCCAGTGCTTACTCAAGATAAATGGGAAAATGGCAGAACGTCTAAAAATGCCTTAAATCCTCTTGGAGGCATTGAAATCTAATAGGAAAATCAATCAAGTTTCATGGGGGCTGCTTGGATGCCGAGGGCACTGTGTGTATGATGACAGAGTCAAGCTCCCTTTTGAGGCCACCCCTGTGTGGGGATGGCAAGCGCCTTTCTTGGTCAAAATCAGAGATCCTTGATGTAT